ATGTGATAATGCAAAAAAAAACTTAAGAGATTGAATATTTGTGAAATAAATGGCCTTTCACAGGATGCTATTTAGAATGAAATCATTCAAAACACAGATGTCATTGTAAAGCTTAATTAAATCCAATAATATAATGTATAATAACTAGATTGATGTGTTAGCTTTAAACGTTTTCCATTCTTTTGTCAAAGTTGAACATTTGCTAATTATTCAGTCAACATTTATTTTCCTTTGATGGTGCACATTTTTCTAAATAACATTTACTCTGTTTGACCAAAAAAAAAACCAGAATATCGGTGCAAAAAAAAGAAATATTTTCTGTTGCTCGAGTAATTACTGCATGTCGGATGCTAACGCAGTTAATTCTCAAAGGAGTGCTAAATCTTTGTGCAGTAATACAGATAAGGGATGCAGTCTGCATGCACAAATCAGCGGGAATCATTTGTGTTTGCTGATTGAAGTCTAAGCAGATTTTATAAAAGCATTTAAAAGCGACACACACTTATTACAAAGCCAGTAAACCTGAACCCATCAAAGAAGCGAAACGTTAACTTGGGTCCATCAACTGCAATATTTCTGCGAGCGAGCGGACGGATACCCCCGAGGGCTGAGCTTGTTGGTCGTGTTGCAGTCGCTGTCGCAGTGGGAGTTGGCTTTGATGTAATATTGCGATATTTCATTTGATTATGCTGATTTGATTGTGCGAGGTCATCCATCCTGCCTGATGCCTCTCGATATCCTTCAAAAGAATTTTGCTTTATTGGCCGGCTGGTCTACCTGGCAGAATTTCAATGGTTGTTTGATGGTATTAATGCACCATTTGAATGCAGACCCCAGAGTTAAGAGGGAGGGAGTGGGGGAGACCCATGTGGAGAGAGCATGCATGGAATTTGAAAGTCAGATGTCAGAGGAGTCAGTGAAGGGGAAGAATTTTCTCCGAACGCAGATGCTACGCTGGAGTGGAATATCAAATGTTCAAATCTCTTTCAGGCAGTCTTACTATAACCCAATTCACTTTTTTTTTTTTTTTTTAAAAAAGGAAAATAGGGAGAAAAAAAAGGTTCTGCCAAGCTTTGAGGAAAAAGCCAAGCATTTATGCACAAAAACAAAGTGAATAGTGAACAGATGTACAGCACACCTGTGATCAAACAAGTTCTTTTCCATTCACTGACAGACGATTCAAAACAGAAGAAGAAGGCACTGTTCCAGGGCTGATATAACCATTCAATTTACACAGCTCTGGAAATCTCAGATCCCAACAATGACCAGAGATTCTCAAAAGGTTATAGTGTATACATGAAGCATCATGGGAAAATAACATGTGTCTGTCTGCTCTGGGGATTTGCAAATCAGGACATCATAAACAATCATGAAGTCCTTAGCAGAGCTGTATTTGGTTTTCTCCAAGCATGTTACTGTGCATTATGGTCGAACACCTCAACTTTGGTCTCATGTGTCCAAACAGCAATATCACAGAAGTCTTGTGGTTTGTTCAGATGCAGCTTTGCAAACCTAAGTTGTGCTGCCATCGTTTTAGAAAGAAGATGCTTTCTCCTGGCAACACACTTGTTCAGTCTTTTTCTATTTGGAGATTAAGTATCGGAATTTCAGGAGCAGGACCACGCCTCCAAACACGCTCCTTACGGTTCTCATCTATATAGGTTCTCCCAGTTCTACAAGCTGTTCATTCTCATTTACGTGCCCCACCCTCTCTCCCCTTTTCAATTCTTTAACTTCTTCACTATTTAGTACACGGGGATCTGCCAGGCCCGGCAGCCGCCGCCAGTCCATTCCAGTCCAGTGTCTCAGAGCATTGCAGTGTCACTAAATTCAGAATTTAGGTTGAAGTTACTAGGATGGCCTGTCTCTAATATACATGCTGCTCTTGTTTTTTTTAACTGTATCTAATAAATTAGATGCTTCACAGAATTAGATATATAGGCAAAACAAGGTATATGTAACATTTAATATCACCTTTACTTTAAGAAAAAAAATGTTTTGTCTGCAACTTGAAGAAAATGAAATGTGTCCGATGAGTCATTGCTTGGGGAAATCAATTCATTTAGTTTACAGAGGTGCTAAGTTATTTATTGCCTGTCAGCATGAGCTGTTAGTTCAATTTAATTTCTAGCTGCAGAAAAGCACAGAGACGCTACAGAGGAAATTTGAAGAGAATTACTTTATTTATGCAAACAGGATGCGCTCCTAAAAAAATGACATCAACATTTTTCAGACCTTTTTTTTTTTCTTTTCCCTGTGGTACCACAGTAACATCTACAGTTTTATATTGGACTGACAGGTTGCATTAAACAACACACTTGTCCTTCGTCTGCTACATTTTAAACAATTCCCAGCGGCCAATAAAGACATATGAGACTATAAAAATTAAGGGGAATATTGCAAATGAAGGCAGAAAAATTCTAATATTGAAAATAAACCAGAGATGTTTATCAAAGGAAAGGAAAGGTAGCACTGTGATAGCTTTTGGACATGCCAGCAGCAGTGACAGTGACAGTTTCCTCCTGAGATTCAAGGATGCACACATATAAAGCTGTTAGCTGACAAATAATAAAGTTTTACAACTAAAAAAATGAGGACCAAAAAACAAAATAAATAAAAATACAAAGCCTTCAACATTCAGCAGTGGAAAATTTAAAACTCAAGACAATGTGGACCCTTGAGTTGTGGTCCATTTCACATTAGCTGAAGCTAACTTAAAGATGCTAGGATACTGCAGCGCATATGCTAGTGCTGCACTTCTTCTCATTATTATTATTACCTTTTAAATTCTTACTGCTGCTGATATTTTGTTCTTAATTACTTGTACCTGTTCAGTAGAGCAAATAGCTCTTACCTTTGAATGTGCTACAACAAACTATAAAGAAACAAATGGACATCATGTCCCGCTTGTACCTTCGGCCACAGGCTGTAATCAACCACCGAGCTAAAGCTCTCTTTTTGCTACGCTACGGCACACCTTCATCCTTCTTCCTCTCCTTTCAGTTGGTTGTTCCACCTCCATGTTTGTTGTAAGACTGCTTCACCCAAGCCAAAAAAAACCAACATGTTTTACAGTACTCGTATTAGAGACTTCTTACAGTTATATTACAGACTTTTTAGCTTGTGTTGACCTAAACAATGAATTCATGCAAAAATTATTTAGTGAGGCTTGCAGGCAGTTGCAGTATATGTACTACATAACAGCAGGTAGAGAAAGTACTTTTACTCCTTGTGAAAGAAAAACTTGACTATATGAGTTTATTTATTTAATGCTACTTGTACTCATAAGTGGTCATACTTACCACAAAAGCTGCCTCTAAATCAAAATGAATGAGTAGATCATAAATAGTAGTCAGTTATACTGTACTCTGCACTTAGTGTACTTACACATTTGTAAGTTGTACCTTGTTGTACCTTTACTTAATAGTAGTAACGAAGTATTTTTTACCTAAAATATTGCTACTTATATACAACATCTAATCCACGTGTCAAAATAATTTTAGCTTATTAGCTAAATTCAGCCCAAATTCGCTGCAGATGGCTGCCCTTCCCCCGGAGCCTGGTTCTGCTCAAGTTTTCTTCCTGTTCAAAGGGAGTTCTTCCTTCCCACTATCCCTCTGTACTCCACAGTCACCAGATCTCAGCCTAATCCGGTCGTTAAGTGATGAGGTGATGAATCCTACTTCCGGGCCTAAAGTAGTCTGCGTTTAATATGGCTTTTGTGTTGTTAACATGTTTAATGTTTTGTATTTTCTTCCATTTAATCTCAAAAAGCTCCTAAAACAGTCAGTGATCACTGTTGACCTCCCTCGGCTTTTATTACCGCTAATCATTTATTTAAGCTCAGTTTTTAAAACCTTAGGATGTAACTACAGCCCATTCCATGCAGCAGTATATGAATGACTAATATCGTATTGTGGATGGATTATCTCAGTTGTTCTCCTGGCTGAAGTTTGGTCCTTTTACAGCATCCTGCCATGCGATTACATTTGTTCCTGACCCCCGAGAACACTCACGTTAACTTTTATCGAGTGGAAAAAAAGTTAGCTTGTTTATATTATGCTAACATAGCTGTGTCGCTAGCGGTCACGTAGCACATCATTATATACCAGCTAGCCAAACTTCAGTAACCCTACAAACGTCACTGCTGTTTAGTTTGCTGTCTTCATTTATGTTGGAAGTGATAACAGAGCTGTACGTCTTAATTTGTTTCCAAAACCCCGCAGTCAGGACATGTTATATTGTATTTAGATAGAAGCTAGCGAGCTAACTTCCTGCTAACTTCTAACTCCGTTAAATGTTTCATGGATGCCTGGATGTTAAACTCAATTGTTACACCTGGTAGAGCAGAACGCTGAGCATTTTATTAAAGATGAAAGACTTTAGACAGTTTTTCAACTCTCAGTAATGCCATAGTGATCGTTTGATATATGGACCTGCAGCGGAGTTTAGACCCAGACACGGCTAGTGATGTCAGACTTAACGACCGGATAGACCACGTTTGGGATGTGGAGGAGCAGAAGATTCACATCATGGATGTGCAGCACCTGTGCGATGCTGCCGTGTTCAACATGTACCAATATTTCTGAGGAATGTTTCCAGCACCTTGTCGAATCTGTGCTGTGAAGAATGACAACAGCTCAACTCAGCAGTAAATAAAGTGGCCAGTAAGTGTATATAAAGGAGTAGTTATTCCATTTTCCAGGGTATCAGACTTCGCTGCCATTTTCAGTCTTTACAAAGACATCCAGTGGTGTAAAATGCTTTGGGACCTCTGATCTAAATGTTTAAACAGGCTCTCATCTGAAGCTGGGGAATATCCATTTAAAATGTTAAATGTCTTTAATCCTAAACTGTTGGATGACCGGACATAGTTGCATGTTTGAAGCAGCACTAAATAAAAAGCACTCGGATCAATTATATATAATATATATAATATAATAATAATATATAGTCAAAGGGTCATGGGTGTCTTTGAGGTGTAATCATTCAGCAACCACAATGGACCAACTTTTTATTTAAGTTCATATTTTCCACTTTCATTAGATAAACACTGCACAAAGTAAATTATTATTTAGCAAAGCTTTCCAGGACGTCTGGCACACACATACACTAGGTCTATTGTTTCCTCTAACCTAGACTTCCTAACATCTCTGGGAAGACACCAAGTCAGCTCTGAAAACGCTAAATCAGGAATGTCAAACTCATTTTACACCATGGGCCACATGCAACCCACTTTGATCTTAAGTAGACCGTACCAGCGAAAGCCCCCTTAACTACACATTTACAGTCCATGAGATGTTTTAATACAAGATAAAGAAGTTCGATTTTAGCAGTGCGGCTCAGCTTTTCCACATGAAAAGAAATGCAGCTGTAGTAAATGGAAGAAATGTGTATGAATAAATAAATAAATGTGTAAAATCACCAAAAAAAACCTCTCCTATAATTACAAAACTGAATGTTTTTCATTCATAGAACACCTTTTATATTTTTAAACTGAGCCAATTGTGAAATAAATACATTGTATGGTAAATGGTGAAAAAAAAACTAATCTTTCCATCATTTAACTGCTTATCTATTAGTCAGTTACTGAAGTCTAGTTTGAATGACAATGGGGGAGGTTTTTAATAAGTAAGAAATGCTTTAAAGTTCATGAAAATACAGTTAAAGTTCAAAATTTATACCCTTCTTTCTCGTTTTTTTTTTTTTTTTCAAAGCTATCCAGTGAGCTGGATTGGAGTCTCTGCCAGGCCGATTCTGGCCCCCAGGCCTTATGTTTGACACCAATTCCCTAAATGAATCTGAGGCTTGAGGATCAGTGAGAACTGAATCACCAACGAGTGTCGCAAACCCAGAGCCTTGGCCCAAAACGAGAGGTGCGACTATGAACCGGCAGGCTCGACGTTTTCCTGCGCGACCTTGTGTTTGACTTTGATAATAGCGCCATTCACAGAACCATCACGCTTCAACATTTTAACACGGTTCATTAGGTTCATTCGAATTCACAAAGCACTCCTTCAACAAAACAGTATCGTCTCACCTCCATCAATCCCATTTTCCAGCCTACTCATTTTTGAGGTCTGCTTAAAAAGCCATTTAATGGCACACACCAAATCGTAATTGGCATTCTAATAGCAGTAAATGACGCCGACAAATACTCACCCATCATAGACGCTACAAGCACTTTACAATCTTTGTATCTTTTTTTTTTTACTAAAGTGGACATTTTCGTTCCCTCTTCACATCATCAGCGAGCGCGGAGATACCTGCACATAAATTCACAGAGAACGACACGTTTAACCCTCCCGCCCTCACCTCTTCCATGAAATAACCCTTTTAAATGCAAATACCTGGAGGCAACTGGCTTCTTATTGCACATTTCATTGTCTCCTTCGGGGTAGTGGGATAGAAAGCCTTTCTTCTCTTCATCTGCATGTAATTGCGTGCACACGGACACACACATACATGCAGCAACCACACAGTTTATGCTGGAGCAAAGCTTTAGAATAAATCAGATCAAAAGAAACTGCCCTGTTAGGCTAACAGACGCTATTAATTCTCGCTGACTGACAAAAGCACGAGAAGCAGAATTTAATTTAAAGTTATCCTGGTGGGACAGCTGGCAGGGTCTTTGTTTTGATCTACAGGAGTGAGTGGGTAGCTGTCTAATCATATCATGCACTCGTGTCATTTTTGAGCCAGTGGGTAGTTTATGACCACTTGAAGGCTTTTCGGTTCCTTATCGGGCGGGCAGAGCAGAGTATAGCGGGATTTTGTATTCCTGTGCACGCTTTCAGTTTAACAAGTCAAACAGGTGTTGGGTGAAGAAAGGCTTCAAGTGTCTACAAGATACAAACAGCACTGCAATCACCTGCTCTGCCTTACAAACCTATGAAGTAACACACTTTTCTGATCCTCTCACATCCTCTAAGGCTGACTCGAGGACAGCTGCGTTTCCAAGTGACATCATTATTAAGAAAACCTGACTCTGACTGGTGCCCGAGACCACTTTCAGTGTAATGTGAGCCTATAAACATGCCCTTGCTGTCCTCTCGCAGATTAGACACAGCCCTGCGGATGTGCTCTGACAGCGTAACACTGCCATCTAGTGCTCGATGGGAGAAACACATTTGGAAAAGTGATATCCCATCCCACGCAGGAGGAGGGGTCTTTGTTTAATGCAAAAACACAATTAAACACCATCTAGAAATCATTCCAATGTGGAGCAAAACAAACACATCATGCTGTACCCTCTACAAACAAGACAGGATGTGCAAACTGAATCGTTTTAAGAGCATTAACCATTCAAGTAAAAGACACGCTACGTGTTTGGCGTTACATGAGGGGTTTTCCCGTTACTTGCTTTCATTAGAGCCTTTATGGCTCTTGCTCTCATTTCCAGCTCCAGCAGCTCCAGCTGCTGAATCGACGGCTTACAAACGGCCGGGTCGCCGCTAGAAACGGGTCCGCTGACATCTGGGGACTGCAGCGGTGTGCTCTGTTCTTTGGCCGCGTCTTTGATGGGAGTGGAGGAGCACGCCAAGATCTCGCTCACGCTCTTGTCTATGTCACTTTGAATGTCTTTCTTCGGCTCTGGATTTGCCGGCTCCGGCTTTGCAGCCGGGTCAGTGCACAGCCTGCTGTTGTCATCGTCGTCTCCCTCCTTCACTGCCGCAGTCTGCTCCTCTTTAACGGTCTGCTCCTCTTTGGGTCCTTCTATGTCGCTGTCGTAAGTGTCTGCGTTTATGCTGAGGACGTCGCTCTCTTCACCAGAGCCGCCACCCTCTGCGAAGAAAATTACAGTCATTTAAAATGTGAAACGTCCCTTTACGGCCTCCTTCTGTCTTTGAAGTCTATAAACGCCTCGGGGATGTTCTTTGTAGTCATTACATATTAATTACCTTGCTTTGGGTCCTCGCTTTTTGCAGTTTCCTTGAGGCATGATGTAGAGTCTACAATACTGTCTTGCCTTGGCGGGGGAAAAATAAACATGTGAAATAAAAACACAGTCACAGCGTAGTTGTTCTCTGATTAACTGTTTCACTCACTGGCTTTCCAAAGACTCTTCAGAGTTTTCATTGTCATTCCCGGCGGTCACTTCCTCCCCTTAACACAACGACACATTTTATGTGAAATTAAATGTTTTGCAGAAGTTTCAAAATGATTTTTTTTATAAAATAGAAACATGCTTCAGTCTTACCTGCTAAGATCTGAATGAGATTTTTCTCCGTGATGGGTTCCAGCTGCTCCCAACACAGCGTTTTGATTTCCTCTACACTGCATTCCTGTAAACGACAACATCTTTAAAACGTATCTCAGATACTCCCGTCTTCATGAGAACTAATCAGCTCTTTTTATTTTCAGATAAAGAGGAAAAGTCATACCAGCGACTTGGCAACAAATATTTAAAAATAGCAGGTAAAGTCCAGCTGTTTGGAAATGAAAACCAGTGATGTGTGCCACCACTTCACAAAACACAAACACAAATTAAATGTTAAACTCAGGGTCTACTGTAGGGCAGACAGAAAGTTTGGCAAGAATCTGGGCAAAAATATTCTTTGGGTATTAATTATAATTTATTAAAGAAACACACAAGTGCTTGATGCAGGTGGTCCAATCAGTCCAGAGTCACAATAAGATGTTGAGTTTTGCAGATAACCGACAACGAAAGCTTTTTTGATCAAATCACCTTGAGTTCATCAGGAAGCATCTTCCGTAGCTTCTTCTCCCCCAGCACATGGAAGCACTGCTCCAGCATCTGCCGCTTGTCACCGACGTAAGCTGTGATGGGCTGGAAGGCCAGGCTGAGGTCCAGTCCCCCTTCCTCAATGTCACTGCCAATCTTGTCAAGCTCAGGATCAGCAAGTTCGTCCTTGGATTCCTTTAAGTTGGGAAGACAAACTAAAACACGCAGCTGCACTCGTATACACAGAATATGCTCTGCAAACTTAAATACAGTCTCCACGGTTAGGAAACAAATAATTTGAACACAATGTTGTGACTCAGGCTGTTTTCATTAATTTTTTTTTGTTAAAGATAATTAAATAGTGTAACAGCATGAAATCCAGCAGCACAGTTTGCATTTAAAGGGATCATTAAAATTCATCCAAAGCAAATTTTACTGCTGCCTAGTGGCTGAAATCCTTTAATTGGTTCTTGTTAGCTAAAAAAATAAGTTAACTACACTAAAAAAAAGATTTAAAAAAGACAAATTAAGACTTTCCTTTTATTATATTTAGACACTGCAGTGAATAAGCAGAGCAAACAATTCATTCAGTGCGACTTAATCAAAGTATTTATAAAGCAGTAACACGATGGTTTTCCCTCAGAGAGCACCAAACCAACAGTGAGGCTTTAACGCTAAAATAAAGTTGTTGTGACGATGCAAACATAACACATAACGCAATAATAACAATAATAATCGAGAGACACTCGATGTACACAAAACGCCAAATGCGTCAACTTTTCAATCATTTAAAACCAGTACGTAAATTTTAAACACAATTTAATTTACCCTCACATTTACCCTAAACTTATTCACATATATTTGTGGCTGTTATACTCCTGAACTTCTTTTCTATGGAGTTTAGCAAGGCGCTAGTCCCGAAAGCCTCACCTCTAAACCGGGCCCCGTACTCCTGCGTTTACCGCTGTCATGTCGCTCCTCGGACTGAAAGTGCTTCCTTTTCTTCTCACTGGTGCTTGATTTCTTTTTGAGCATTTTAAACCCACTCAAACTAGTCCTCCACTGAAAGCCGCTACAACCGCCGAAGCTAAAGGTCGCGGGAAACACACGTCATAAGCGAGCGACGGCTTCTTCTTTGCGTCTTATCTGTGGCATTTATCGCCACCTACCGGACAGGAGCGGTTCCAGCTCGTGGCTCTCAGTGATGTCACTCACTGAGACTGGTTTGTTTATGCCACAGGCTTAGCTGATGGTAAAAGAATGGAGAATTCATTTAAAAGGTGAAATACGATGCTTTTAAAATGTACTGACACAATACTGTGAGAAGTCAAAGGAGCTTGTAAAGAAAAGCGTCTGGACTTCTTTAAGATGCTTGAAGACGTTTCACCTCTCATCCGAGAAGCTTCTTCAGTTCTAAGGTCAAATGGCAGAGAGTCCCAGATTTAAACCCAGTGGGGGTATCCCCCCCAAAGAGGGACAAAAGGACCCCCTGATGATCCTCTAATCACCCTGTGAGCGACCATCTTTGAACAGAGGTGGTGGTTTACGACACCAACTGTCTGCCATCTATAATCCAGTTTTAAGTTCTCTCCCCAGGCGCCTTAACGCCCACTCACATCCGGCCCAGGATGTGATCTGACCTCAGGAAATCACACGATAAGGTGGGGCCAGGTTTCACAATGAACTCACCCAAAACCCTGGCTGATTGGGACCCACACCCGCTTTCACACCTTGGCTCAGGTGATTAGAGGATCATCAGGGGGTCCTTTTGTCCCTCTTTGGGGGGGATACCCCCACTGGGTTTAAATCTGGGACTCTCCACCATTTGACCTTAGAACTGAAGAAGCTTATCGGATGAGAAGTGAAACGTCTTCAAGCAACTTAAAGAAGTCCAGACGCTTTTCTTTACAAGCTCCTTTGACTACGATGACCTGGATGACTGAGAACCTTCACAGACAATACTGTGAGAAAGTTTTGAGCCAGCCCTGGATTTCTTCATATTTAAATGTAAACACAGCATATGAGGTAAAAACAGAGTTTGTACATGTCTAACCAGCTTGAAAGACAATATTTGCTATGACCACCTTTATTCTTCAGCACAGCCTGAACACTCTTAGAGGCTTTCTTGTAATTTCTTATTTCCCCCCCCCCTTTTTTTTCCTTTTACAGCATCCTGAGTTTTGGGGAAATCGTGTTTCTCATGGTTCCTCACTGCTGAATCATTAAAAGAGCGCTGTAACATTAATAAGCACTATTGTGTGAATAACAAGCGAGTTCAGTCTATCAGTTCCCACCTGCTAACTAACAGCTCTGGCTCCAGGTGCAGCAGCAAAGCCTGCGGGGCTCGATGCTACGCCACATTCACCTGCAAACGTCTGTAATTCTGACTAAAACCTTCTCTCACAGCGTGTAGAGCGCACATACATTTCAACTGTAGCCCGTCATCATTTTACTCTTCAAAGCTTGCTCGGATTACATGACAGTCAGCCACTTCCCTTTCTACATGGCAGCCATGTGAATTCACATGTTTCCCATCCCATCACCGTGTCATCAAACGCTGCGTATCTGATTTATCACTGCAAAACCTTCAAACCTGCTGCCTACATCTTTGAAGTTAGCATATTTATATTATAAAAAAGCATAATAATGATAGATTATTGCAGAAAAGCTGCACAAGCAACAATCAGAAACAAAGGGACGCATCTAAAGTTCTGTAAGTTTAATTTAATGAAGGCTGATGTTATTTACTCGACCCTCTTTGCTTCACTTAAAGAATATGTTCACATTAGCTTCTGCTTGGAGCAAAATTACACTATATTTAGCCAATAAATAAACCTGCTGCCAGGTAGCCAAGCATTTTATTTGTCTGGACTGGAACACAAGTTTCAAGGTGTTGACGACACAAGCAAGCTGTAAATCACTCTAATTGGCTTCCCGCCTCTGCCTGAAATAAGGCGGGAGCCAATACCGTGGCTGCCCGGGCTCTGTGGCGACAGCTGTCTCCACATAATGCAGGTTGTTATCCTGATGCCATCCACCGAATTATGCAGTGGATGCGGTGGGAGGCGCGCATCGATCACAATCACGTCACAGTGTGTTTTCCTTGCAACATCTGCTCCCGTGTGTCTGGATATCACCTCATTAAAAGGGCAACGATGGAGCCGGCACTGTGGAGGAGGGCGCCGCGTTTGGAGAGCGGAGAAAAGAATCAGAAGAAAAAGAGGGGAAAAACACAACAACAACAACAACTTTGACAACTACAGCCAAAACGTTTCCATCAAAAGTGATGTCGCTTTGTGACGGTTCTGCTTGAAGGGAACAAAAGGCACTCAAGGCTCGGCTGTTTAATGAAGGATTTCAGCTAATTGAGACACACGGCCATTAGCTAAAAGCCTTTTGCTGTTTTTCCTCGTTTGGTTTGCTTTCGTAATGCATGCAAAATGATAAATCATAGAAATAAAGACGCATTCTTCAGTCACTGAAAGGGAGATTAGAGATTAGAAAACTCTGAGAGCTAAGAAAGTTATTTATCAGTGGAAACAAAGGCACGAAAAAAGAAAACAAGACTACGACTGAACAGGAAAGCAAATGGAAACTACACAGCTGCTGTTGGATCTAATGCAGGAACTGATAGTGGAAGTATTCCTACATTGTTCTCAGTTTAAAATACTGTCACACCGTAGCTCACACTCTAAGTGCGCTCTTCTGCACTTTATCGCACTTTTCCTCCCACTATTCTCGCAATCAGCCACATGTGGCTAAGTTAACTTGTGCACAGTAATCTGGCTTCTGCATAACCGAAGCAAAGGGTGGTTTTGCCACACAGTTACATAAAAATCATCCAAAGAAACGACTTCCATCGTCTTTAGATCGACTGAACATTGCGACATCTGTAGAAAAGCCTTTAAAAATAATTATCGTCCTCAAATGAAAAGCACCTTCATTAAATTCGGAGCTTATTTATCAGCTTATTAATTTCATCGCCTCAGGGACGCGAACACCTTTCACCAAGCGAGCAAACACGCAACCCTCCAATCAACACCTGCCACTGACAAGTCAACACTTATTGACAGCGGGCTTATTTTTAGTGAAGAATAACAACTTCACTGCCAACTGTGATACATGGTCCAACTGTGTGTTTCTACCCAAACCAACTGACACATATCAGAGACTGAGGCAGAGCTTTAGACAAAGCTGTGCTTTCTCAAATGCCAAATGCTCTCCGAATGTGGAAAAAAAACCCACAGTCTTATCACTGTAAGAGCAGAAGAGTGAGAAAATGTGGGTAGTTTTATTTAAGATGACTTTAAACTGGTCATTAATAATAATTAAAGATAAAACTGGTGTTTTCCCTCTAACCTAAAGTCTAAACATTCAGAAATAAAGTGACTATAATCAAAAAAAATGAAGCAACGCTGACCTCTTGCTGCTTTGTTCGGGAGGTCGAGGAGACCGAGTAAGCCAGACGGCTTCGTGCTCGCTCTTTATTGGTTTTCAGCTCATCAGATCAGAGTGGCTAAAGCTCAGGGGAGAGCACAGAACACAGCGAGTCATGACTCCATATCTAACAGTCGCTGGAGCAGGCTGAGAGGCTATTGACACTCACCCGCTTTAGTATTGTGCCACTGGTACAAAGATCCGGCTAAAGACATAACAACCAAGGAGCGAAGACGTGACGCCAAATAAAGAGTGAAATGTAAAATGTGAAAGCAGTGGATCAACGGCCATCCAGACTATGAACATGCTTTCAGTGAGTAGCCTCAGCTAACATCCATGCTAACAGTTTTGTTTTTAAAAAGCCAATTAAATTTAATCTGTAACTACTGACTGGTGTTCTGTCTTAAACACTGCTCTCGTCCACGTTTATTCTTTTGTTATCAAGCAAAAAAACAACATAAGCACTAACTTGCTTCTCCTTGATTCAAACATTTGAAGAACAGGTGATAAATTATCCGGTCATTAAGCGATGACGTGACAAATCCTACTTCCGGGCCTAAAGTAGTCTGCGTTTAATATGGCTTTTGTGTTGTTAACATGTTTAATGTTTTGTATTTTCTTCTATTTAATCTCAAAAAGCTCCTAAAACAGTCAGTGATCACTGTTGACCTCCCTCGGCTTTTATTACCGCTAATCATTTATTTATCAATCAATCAATCAATCAATCAAAGCTTTATTCGTCACATGCAGGTTGCCCTGCAGTGAAATGGGACCCCCCCCCCGACCTTACACATATAGCACAAACATTACATGGGGATACAGGTCGGAGATTGGTAGAATCAGAGAAAAAAAACATTGAAATGTACACTACAGTGGGGAAAGTACAAGAGGAAAAAAGAGACCCCTACTCATGCTGTGCTTCCATGGTAGGACAGCATGAGAACAGGAAACAAAAAAAACTCCTTTGCACAAAAAAGCACATAAATGTCCACAGCACAACATTGTGAAGACATGACAAGCCACAGGGGTGGGTGAGGAGTAATCCGAAGAAACACAGCAGCCACCCTGCACAGCGCTATCATTCCAGCGCGGCACACAGACCCGCCGTGTTCCCTCGCCGGAAACAAGCATCGAAGGCGTTGGAAAGGGAGGGGGGATGAGTGAGAGCTCAGTTTTTAAAACCTTAGGATGTAACTACAGCCCAGCCCATGCAGCAGTATATGAATGACTAACCTCGTATTGTGGATGGATTATCTCAGTTGTTCTCCTGGCTGAAGTTTGGTCCTTTTACAGCATCCTGCCATGCGATTACATTTGTTCCTGACCACTGAGAACACTCACGTTAACTTTTATCGGGTATCAAAAAGTTAGCTTGTTTATATTATGCTAACATAGCTGTGTCGCTAGCGGTCACGTAGCACATCATTATATACCAGCTAAACTTCAGTAACCCTACAAATGTCACTGCTGTTTAGTTTTCTGTCTTCATTTATGTTGGAAGTGATAACAGAGCTGTACGCTTTAATTTGTTCCCAAAACCCGCAGTCAGGACATGCTATATTGTATTTAGATAGGAGCTAGCGAGCTAACTTCCTGCTAACTTCTAACTCCTTTAAATGTCATAAATTCTGTTTTCATGGATGCCTGGATGTTAAACTCAATTGTTACACCTGGTAGAG